CTCTAGTACTCTTACTAGGTGGGTACTCCTTCAACATAACCGCCACTACCACCCTCTTCTCCCAAAGACAACGCCCACCAGCATCATGACTGTCTACATTCATGATAATGGACCGTTATGTCCGAGGGAAGAAGATATGGTAGTAATTTCCTAGGCACAGCAGCTAATTACACTTCTCGGCAGAGTGTATTTCGAAGGGAACAGGGTTTGTATACGTTCACCGTGACAACCTGACTACCTCCCTCCCTACCCCTCATAGGAGAGCGTGGCAGGGTTGTACCCATACAGATGTCTACTCTGTCATCAACCTGTGTCCAGACGGGAAAAGGCGTCGTATACGTCCACCCATTTCTTTTCTTCACCCCAGTACTGCTCCTCCCAGTCACAACCGTTTTTGTCCTTTTTTTTTTGTTTCTTAACTCCTTTTCCTGTCGACTTCCATGTTCTCCCGAACTCAACGCACTCTCATCATGACTGCATCCGGCCGGAAAGATAGCTTGTGTACATTCATTATCGGTCAGACTCATGGTACGGCCAGAACCGTCCTACCTGTCTTCTCCCCAATGCAACGCAGCCTAGTAATGAATGAAGACAAGTTGGGTATGAATGAACACAAACCATCTTCCCGACCTGATACAGTCAAAATGAGGGTGTGTTGCGTTCGCCCCAAGACGAGGTGGTGTGAGGATACCCTTATAGACAATCACTGCAGTACACGCTGAGGACGTGCGGACACTAGCTAGACTTTTGGGACTGAATGTGGCCACAGCTCCGCCAAGATACATCTCAGAAAGTCCGTGTGAGTCCGGCCTGAAGGTATGGCCCAACCCAGGCTAACCTCTGGGGCTAAAGACGTATGGACACTAGCTAGACTTTTGGGACTGAATGTGGCCGTGGTTCCGGCAAGATACATCTCAGAAAGTCCGTGTGAGTCTGGCCTGAAGGTACGGCTCAACACAGGCTAACCTCTGGGGCTAAAGCTTCACGTGAATGGCATAAAATATTTTTTTTATGGCTTTTTTCCTAATCTGTAATGACCTGCCAAACATGGACTGAGACACACAGCTGATTTCCGAGTTTCGCTCATGGAATGCATGCCTTACTGAGTTTCCCACTTGTTGCTGAGTTTTCTAAGTCTGTGTGGGTGCGTGCTTGCTGTGTGGGTGCGTGCTTGCTGGTCTGCATGCCTGTCTGAGTGCCTGTCGGCTTGAGTGTGTGTGTGACCCACAAGGGCACTTGGTTGATCGGAAGGCCCGAAGGGCCGGTAAAAAAATATTTACCTGTGGCCGTGACATTGGGGGTTGCAGCGGGGAAAACACTCAAGTGGCGGGGAAAGAGGCCCGCGACACGTAGAGCAGTGGAAAACACTCGAGTAGCAGGTAGGCCAGTACCACACCAAGAAGAGGTAGATGTGCTGGGTACTCGAGGCCGAGTAGAAGAAGACAAAGTAGGCATTTCAAGAGGCCCAGTAGTTGTAGGCTAGGTCTAGGTGGGTACCAGTCCAACCAGTCTGAGTCTAGGGCCTGTATGGGCAATATCCGAGTCTGTAATGACCTTTCCCTCCGAAAGAGAGGAGGTACCGGTTGCTTGGAGGCCGTGCTGCCTAGGAAGTCACTCGCCAAGAGGCAAGCAGGCCGCTATATCTCCTGGAGGAGCAAGGTGGCCTCCTCGTTATCGGTGTGCAAGTTTGACGACACACTGGTTGGAGCGCTCGCTGGAGCAGCGCTAGGTTGGAGCAGCACTGCTGGGGAGGAACAAGGGCAGGAGGAGGAAGAAGACCAGGACTAGGAGGGAGGAGCCGCAGAGGTACTTAACTGGCTATGGTAGATACCATCTTCATCACCTTGGTTGGGCGCTGCACCTGGAAGGCCCCCGTTGGGGTAGAGCTGCACCAAGGAGCTTCGAGGCAGAGTCAGGCATGGCGGCCTGAGATAGAGCAGCCATAGCTGCTTTGTGTTGTCCTTTGCACAGCAGGGTGGCGCCCTGGAAGGGTGGCCATAGCTATGGTGGACCTCATGTGATGCCTGCAGTAGAAGAGGGATTCGGACATTGATTCTCGTTCAGCCATTCAACATTATTATTATTATTTCTCGTTTGAATAACAGGGGAGGAGATAAGGAGCAGGAGAGTGGTTGGTGAGACGAAGATCATTATCATTGCTCTATGCTGGTGTTCATCATCTTCTTCTTCTTTCTCTCTTCTTCTTCTTCTTCTTCTTCTTCTTCTTCTTCTTCTTCTTCTTTCCCTCTCTCTCCTCTCAAGTTCATTCATTTCTTTTTGCAATTGGACGGCATTGTACTTTCTGATGAATGTGTACTTCGAAATTGGCCAGGATCATAACAAATTGGGAAAATACGGTGATGGTTAATACCATCAATAATTGACCGCAATAGAATAAAATGAAAGATTCGTCCTCATGCAATAAAATTGCCCGCACTTCATTTTTCCATTTTTGGAATGAACGCTCACGTAAAAAAAGGGAAAACACTGCACAAATCGGTTCCAAAAGGAAGCACCAAACACTGTACCAGTGCACCTGGACGTGTTGACAGCCAGATGCATGATATGCACGTGGACATGCATGCAGCCACGTGCATAGTGACCACTGGCCAGGCCAATTTCACCATTTCGAATTGCCAAGGGGGCTCCTCTCGTCCTCCTTGCCCATTTCCAGGTGGGCAGGTTGGAGGGGGAGGGGGTGGTGAGTGTGTCTGGGAGTGTGTTGAGAGAGAGGTGGTGGTGGGTGTGTTGCAGGGGTCCAAGGCAAATGCAGGTTGTGCTTTAAAGAGAAAACCCAGCGCAGTGCAGTTTGACCTTAGCAAGACCGCTGTTTAGGCAAGGCTATACATAGACACAAAGGGCCTCGCTCCCCTACTCAACATTCGACAGGTACCTGGGCTGTCACATGGACCAGATGCATTTGGACTGATCGACCATTTTGGATGTACTGGGACCATTACGAGCTCCAGATACATCTCGAATGTTATGTAGTGGAGCGAGGCTCAAATAGTGTTGACTTCCTTTCCCTTTTCCTCTTTTTTATTTTGAGTGTTAATTTTCAGGTGGGCAGCGAATAGCGTCAGGCGTGAAGGCTTGTGCCAGTCCCAAACTTAGCATGATCTTATATTCAAAAATAGGAAATAAGAAAACAATAACCACCCATCCACCCCTCCATTCCAACATCCCCCCTCCCCCCTTTTTATGCCATTCGTGTACAACTTACCAGTGTTGTTTTGATGGCTCCGTCATCCCCAAGAGCTCTCCTTTGGCCTTCTTCATGTGGGTGATCGCCTCCATAACTGTCCAAGTTACGTCTATGTCCCTGAAGGATCTCCTCCTTCTCCTCCTCCTCCTCTTCCTCATCTCTCTCCTCTTCTTCTTGCCCGTCAATTCTTGTCTTCGCTCCGACATCACTACTGGCCTGACGTCCTGTTCCACCACTGTTTGTTCTAGCCCTTGTCAACCCCCCTCCTCCTCCTCCTCCTCCTCCTCCTCCTCCTCCTCCTCCTCCTCGAGTACCAAACCCAGTAGAAGGACCACCACCTTTTCGGGCAAAGAAATTTCCGAGGGAGACTTGTACAGCTCCTCCTCCCTTTCCTTTCCCTCGTCCCGCGCCGGCAGATCTCTCCCCCCCAATCAACGACGATGGCGTCCCAGTCCCAATTCCGACTCCCATCTTCCTCATACCGAACCCTCCTACTCCTTTTGCCAATGGACTCGAACTAAATGGCTTTCCAGTCCCTATCCCGGCTCCCGCAGCTGCAGGTGACGGCCGAGTGGTACAAGAGAAAGAGTTTAAGTCTCGATGAGCAGATTTGGCAGGCGTGTGCATCCCGACCTCCTCCTCGTCATCCAACTCCTCTTCCTTCTCCCCTTCCTGCCCTCCTTCCGTCCAGCTCATCCCTCCTTCTGCCCCCTCTCTTACTACTCTACCCTCAGCTGCATCACCATGGAGCAACCGACCACCACCCTCTCCTCCTCCTCCTCCTCGTGCATTTCTCCCTCCTCCCCCTATCCCTCCTCTTCCTCTTCCCTCCCTTCCTTCTTCTTCCATAACCTCATCCTCGTGATTCCGGCCACCACCATCTTCATGTTCCTTTTTCTTCCCTCCCTCTTCTCCATCACTTTGATCATTCAATATACAACGGCAATCATCATCATCTCCAGCAGCAGCAGTAGAAGCAACAGCACCCCTCACAGAACCAGACCGTATATCAACATCATCATCGGAAAAGCGACCTCTTTTTCTCCCCCTAGTTCTTCCGATTTCCTCTTTTCTTCTGTCGACAGCGCAGTCGGCATCAACTTCCTCCTCCTCCCCCTCCCCCTCCCCTCCGGACCACAACGACCTCCGTCGCCTGCCAGTCGGCAGCGATCCGCATTGCAGCCGTCCATCACCGTCTGCTTCGAACCGTTGACCTTGAGATTGGGATTGGCATTGGGATCGGGATAGAAATTCACCTCCCCCTCCTGGGGCATCGCCATTCCTTCCTTCATCCGCATCCCGATCTTCTGCTGATCCATGCATCCGAAACGATGATGATGATGGGGATCCCGATTGTTGAGTCGACTGCTGGCCTCCCGGCCATAACATCCTATTGTCCGTCGATTGCGACACAGGGTAAGCAAAGAGATTTGACGAATAAACGGAGTCCAGCTTGGCTTTGAGGGCGGCAATTAAGGCAGCTTCAGTGTGCATGAAGACTTTTCTCTTGTCGGGAGTGACGTTGACGTCATAAGAATTCTTTGGCAGGACGAAGTTCAGCACCGCCATTGGCAGTTGCTGGGAATTGAACGCTCGATAGGTTTCGTTGAGCACTTTGCCAACACGTGGCAGATCCACCGGCCTCCCGTTGATGTAGAAGAACTGGCGGTCTGCCGACGCACGTCCAGACCCCACCCCCGGCTTTGAGATAAACCCCTCCACGTGGCAGTCATCCGACAGGCGAACTTCGATGGGGTCCATAACATTGACCATCTTCGTTCCGAAAACTGAGACCAGATTCTCGCGCAAGCTCTCCCCTCCCTGTGTCTTCATCACTGTCGTTTTCCCGCTCTTTCCGGTCTGATTGGAGCAGAAGATCCGCACCCCTTTGCTGATGATGGCATAGGCCTGAAGAAGCGCCAAAAGCTTGGAGTACTCTCGGCGAATGTTCCTGGTAAACTCCTTGTGGCGAACAGGGAGGGTTGAGAAGATTCGCGAGACGGAGACCGTGGTCCCGACCGATCGGGCGACGGGCGACTGGGATACCAACAGACCGGAGTGGTCAAACTCCAGCTTGGCACCGGCTGCCAGGTCGGCTGTTCGAGTCACCACTGTGACATCTGCCAGCGCGCACAGCGAGCTCAGCGCCTCCCCTCGGAATCCGAAAGAAGTCAACCTCTCGAGATCCGAAAAGTCAGATATCTTCGACGTGTGGTACTTGAGAGTCAAACCCTGCCAAATTTGAAAACAAAACACAAAAAAAAAAAAAAAAAAAAGTAACCCAACAAGGACAAAACAGGGGTCAAAGTGTTGAGAAGACGTGATCTGTCGTTCAGGACATCCATTAAAATTGGAACGATACAGAAAAGATTAGCATGGCCCCTAAGCAGGGATGACACGCATTAAAAAATTTAAAAAAAAAAGACATGATCTGGCGTTGAACACCTTACACGCAACACATGCAGCCTGGCTCCACAACACAACACTCTACATGCATCTGGAGCCTACCTTCTTCCCCCAAATAGAACATACGGTCATTTTTGCTGCATCTGGACAGAAATGTGAGCCAAATGCGGCCATAATGACCGTACGTTCGATTCAGGGGAAGACGGGTAGTAATGGTCTGAATTCATTCGAAATGTTGGATCAGTCGAAATCTATCTGGCTTTCATACTGTACACATACATGTCTAGTGTTGTGCAGTGGAGTGAGGCCAATAGATCAGCCATCCATAGATGAACTTAAGGAGAAGCAACCCTACAGCGAAATGTATCTGGTTTTCATACTGTCCACATACATGTCTGGTGCTGTTGCAGCCGAAGATGCAAGAATCTCGCAGGGGTCAAAGCTCAGTACCCTGCTTGCTGGTGTTTTTTCTTTTTCATTTTTTCTCGAAGGGTGAGGTCTAAATTTTTACTATTATTATTGCTTAAAACACTACGCTATATTATATTCTTTCAAATTCTCTAAAATTTCCCTTTCACTACCTACCCACCACCACTCCTAAGGCTAGTACAGGCTACCTCACGATGAAGGGATTGCGAGTTGTCCCCTGTCCTAACACCGGTAGTCAGGGAGAAGTGTGGGTCACCAGTGGGGGCCCAGCTAACACAAAGACGGAGCATTTTGACAATAGCTGCGCCTCCCATCTACTTCCCCCGCTCCATCAGTCTCTAAGGCCAACACTCTCCCATCTACTTCCCTCTGCTCCCATCCAGTAACATCAGTCTCTAAGGCCAACACTCTCCCACACACCACACACCACACACTCACACTGTGTTGGCTAAAGACCCTAACTAGCGGCGGGAGCGGAATTGTTTTTCCTACTTGGAAAAAAAAAGAAAAAAGAGATACCGATGGGCGTAGCTCAGTTGCTACACCCATGACCTGTTGAAAGACAGACCTCAGTTCGAATCTCAATCAACCCAGATGAGCAAATAACTCTGAATTCACCTGGCGGTGGTCAGTTTGAAGATGAAAAACTCATGGACCATGGACCTTTCAAAAAAGTCTGATTAGGGGGAGTCCGAGATGGCTGCAGCATGACCTCAGGTTGGGGCTACGCTGCACAGACTGCGAGAAGGTCAATCTTGGCGGATTGGAGAAGGAAGGGGTCCAAGAAAGAATGCCACCCCTCTCGTTAGGGGTAGCCTTCGCAGTAATTTGGCAGGGAAGGAATGACCAAAAAAAAGTGTTCAAAGACAAGGACTGCTCCAGTAAACAAATATAAGGACGACCTTCACCCAGCTGCTGAGAAGGCCAATGTTGGCGGTTTGGAGGACGGTGAGCAAGGTCAAGAACAGAGAGGCAGGTCTCAGATGGTTTGACGACACCTGGTGCAGACAAGGCAAGATGGCTAAGGTAGAAGCAGGTAGAGACGTACTCGACGCTTGGTTCTTCAAGGGTTGGAAGAAGGAAACAACAAACCTGGATGCTCGGTTGGAGGGTCATTGATGGGTTGCAGGAGACAGGCAGAGGGAAGATGTGAAGTGCGGAGGGAGCGTCATTTTGATCAGAAGATCCAAGCACCGCCATAGGTGGCACACAGAACTAGGAGTAGAGCAGATAGTAGGCAGAGGGATAGAGAGAAGTTGAGGGTTGAGGGTTGAGGAGGTTAACTCTTCTTCAATTTCTCGATTTATGCGTGTCATCCTTGCGCAGGGGCCATGCTAATCTTCTCTGTATCGTTCCAATTTCAGCGGATGTCCCGGAGGACTGAGGAGGTTAACTCTTTTCTTCTTGTTTCTTTTATTTTTCCATTTGTGTGGTTTTGAAGGCCATGTGTGTGACGCCCAACCTCACGCCCAGCGCGACTTTCTGTTTTCGGAGTGATAGGGGGCCCGGAAGTGCGTAGTAAGGGTGTGCCAAGGATTTTAGGAAAGTGGGGTGGAGTCCCAGGTCGGAACTGAGATCTCCGGTGTCAAGTTCCAGGGATGGAAATGCAAGTGGTTCCGGTGCAGGGCCAGGTCCTGGGTTTTGTCTTTCTCCTCGGGCGGGCTCGCACCTGGTGCACCGATGGAACACAGTGTGTGTCTCTTTGTTCAAACACCTGTCGTCAGCGAGTTTCACAGATTTCTGAGTCTGACGTGGACGGCCTCAGCCGGAGACTGTGTTCTCGGTGCTCAGCTTCGGAGCGGGTTCGTCGCACGAATCCCGCTGCCCGGTAAGTGTTGTACTGACGGCACTCAGAACACGGCCTATGGGGCCAGCAGTGCGCGATCGAATCCCAGGGAGCTACCGTCAGATGGTGATAGGGGAGAAAGAGATAGAACAGAGGGAAGTTGGTTTCAATGGCGACGAATCCTGGTGTACGATGGTACTGATAACTACGGGGGTCGGGGTAATCTGGGGTTCGGGAATTCAGTTCAAGGGCCTGGTGAAAGTCCCAAGTACACAGCCGATCGTCCTCCATTTGACAGGGGTGGACTGGAAGCCGTAAGTTCAATCGGCAGAAGAGTTGTTCGTTCTCCCAGTATTCCCTGTACTTTGGGTTCCTCAGACCGGCGCGGTCGGTGATCCGGAACGGAACGCAGACCTCCATATCTGGCGAGGGGCCTTAACTCATACATTTGGTCGTGCAAGGGGAACACGTCAGGTAGACACACATATGCATGACGACTACCATCTGGCGGTCACTCGTATACGTGTGTGCACATGATCTATTCCCACCGAATCCGAATCAACCCAGATAGATCAGATGGCCATTCGACGGTCGTAAGGATATTCATGCATGAGAAAAATCCAACTCCTACTCAGGCATACACACAGATCGCAACCTGCTCGTTCTTCATGCACCTGCCCCGATCCAGGTCGGCTTGCGGGAGACAGCCCGATCGCACCTCCGATCAGCACAAGGACATGGTTATTTCAAAAGTGGGTGGAACCACATACATGTCTCTACACATCAGCAAAGCGTTTATTTCTTACACCCTCATTTTTACAGTCAATCACAAACAAACGAAGAGATGAGAGAGACAAGGACAGCTCAAACATCAATCAATCAAAGAGAAGAAAATCGGAGAATGCCACGAGCAAAAATGGTTGAGAACCAGAAATCACAGTAAGCCAGAGAAATCAAAATTATGCAGAAAATACGAGGAGATAATTCTCACTTCAGCACACCGCTTTCTCCATCCTCCTCTCTCTCTCTCTCTCTCTCTCTCTCTCTCTCTCTCTCTCTCTCTCTCTCTCTCTCTCTCTCTCTCTCTCTCTCTCTCCACGATGCAGGCAGTCTGTCACCTCGCACCCATCAACAACCCGGAGTTGTCATCCCGCTTAGTCCGAGTACGCGAGCCAGGTTCGCCCGTATGCCACAGTCCTTTGCGGCCACACGTCAACCCCGCATACCCGGCACCAGCTCGTCGGATCGCCCGACTTCCTACTCGCCTTTCTGTCTCCCTCGTTAGCCGATCCCTACTCGCCTTTCTGTCTCCCTCGTTAGCCGATCCTCTCGACCGCGCTAACTCCCAAGTGTAGATTAGAGAGCGAATTAGTCACGCTTGCGAGCTTTGTGGCAGTCGGTAGTTGCGCGAGGTAATTCCGGATTATGCTGAAGCAGGAAGGAGTGAGAAGGAGGGTGTGCCAACGGGTGCATGACGGGGCCGCGGCATGGGGGACGTAGCCGCTCTCCACGCATCGATCCAATCCAACATCTGTAGGCCAAGGGGATAGGCAGGAAAGAGGCGCAGAGTTTCGCGCAGAAAAAGAAGAGATCAAGAAGGGAGAGGATTACAGTTACGCCCGCGCTCGCCAAGAAAGAGCAAGAAGATTCGATTAGAATTTATGTGCGGCGGGAGCAGGGCGTAGAGCAGTCCGCAGTAATGTGCGCGCGAGTAGGGAGCCCTGTGCCATTACAGCCAAAAATTACGATGCTCCCAAATTCCTAGCCTCATTGAAATCCTAATTGCAAGAAGAAATTCCGAGAACCTGTGTAGGTTCAAAATTCAAAAAAGAAATTCAAGAAACTTCCCTGCGCGGTAACCGCACCAAAAATTCCCCGCCCAGTTCCATCATCAACAAAACAAAAAGAAAGAAAAGACGGTATGTCAACCATTATTTTTCGCGCTCGCTATGGCACATCCTCCCAAGCGTCGTGGTCCCAGCTTTCCCGAAAGAACGGGGGCATTAGCGCAATTGGGCCCGGCCTCTTCTTCTCCATCCTCCCCTTATCTCCAACCCCCTCAGTACTACTGCACAGAAGATGGCACTCTTTCAGAAAAGAGATCGTCACATGTGGGCATTCTTTTTTCTCCAGATCTGTGGTCCCAGGACAGAGGGCAGGAAGGTGTTCCTACCTGAGTCTGAACCGAAACTGGGACTGGGTAATGGTCCCAGCATTGTTTTCTCCAGGTTGTTTGTGGAGGGATTCCCGGCCTCCCCCTCTCTGCGTATAATAAATGATGCTTGGTGTTAAAAAAAAAAAAAAAGGAAAATTGCATCTGTACGGAGCTTAAAGATGGGAATACCTGCTATACCGAGTCCGAAGGTGAACTTGCATCTATACCCTGGACCCCGTTCAACTTTGTATGGTACACAACTCTTCCCCTGTAAGAAATTGTAAGCATATCCAGTCCTACAGGCCCTCCGTTCCGGACCACGAAATTATGCTCATGCCCAGAAACCGGGCTGCAAAAATGCGGGTGTACCCACACCCAGGGGTGTGCCCTGGATGGCAGACCCCGAAATTATGATAATTATGTTCATGCCCAGAAGCCGGCCTGCAAAAATGCGGG